TCTCTCTCTCTCTCTCTCTCTCTCTCTCTCTCACACACACACACACACACACACAGAGAGAGAGAGAGAGAGAGAGAGAGATGTAAACTGTAGTTGCGCAGAAATTTGAATCCAGGTCTATACAATCTAAGTCCAATGCTGTAGCCCAGCCTTTCATAGGCCGGTGTCCTTCAGTTATATTGGGTTACAATTCCCTTAATTCCCATCTTAAAAAGCCAAGAGTCATGTGATGCCTGGAAAGGTCACAGGAGTTCCACTTTAAATCATCTGGATGGCACCAAGACATGGTGGCAGTGAGGCGAATGTTCCAGCCACTATACTACGCTGTCTTTCCATTGAAGCTTCAGGGGACCAAATGAGGATGAGCTAATTTCAGGTGCTAAGCATCAAAAGCGATGGTGTGAACCCTTTCTTGTACAGGCTTACATAGAAAAAAGTCCTGCTGAGTCCAATGAAGGAAAATGGGGCAAAGCGAAGGTGCCTAGGACTTTAGCTTTGACTGGAGATTTGCTCTGTGCTGAGGTACACTGTGTTCATTCCTTTTGAGCTCATGTATGAGAAGCACCCTTTGCCGGTGTTTCTTCTCCCTGGCACTATTATTTTAAACAAGAAAGCTGTCCCTCTGACAGAATTGTGAAGCCTTTGCAAGAAGATGAAGGTTCATGCACTAGCATTCTTCTCCTTGACAGGCTCCTGTCAAAAGCACTGGACCACTGAAGCAGGACCATAAAAGCAGTGGAAGCATTACCTTTTTCTTCCTCCAGTTCTCAATTCAGCCACTCCCCCTCCTTACTTTCACAAAATATCTTTGCAATTGTTCCAGGTGAGTAAGCTTGTTGCCAGCTTGATCTCTATTCCTATCTTTTCTTTCAAGAACTTAGAAATGTTACTTTTCTGGACTAAAACTCACAGAATCAATATGCTGATGGGGGATTGTGGAGGTTGTAGTCTAAAAAAACAACTTCTGCCACATCTCCTCCTTTCCCCTTTGTCAGTTCTTTTGTCTACTGAAGCATCCATACCATCTACAGAAAGTAAGTGATCATAATCTATTTATGTAACAGTACAGTACGTCGTTCTTCAGGCAGCAGTGCATACTATCAACCAGCAATAATCACTAACACTTTTTGACAGGGTTTTCAGCCTCCTTTCTCCACATTATTAATGAACATAGTTTTTCTTTTCTATAGCACTTTCCACAACTTAGTTATAATAGTAACGTAGTTCAAAGGATTTATGATTTGACGTTCCATCTGTATGGTGTACCACCTTTTTCTATCAGAGTTTGATCTCCATGATGAAGAAACCTTGCCAGCTCAAGTTCTCCATGTCAGGCTATTGTTCAAAGCACTGGAGGTAGATAATACCATTGTTAGCTCCAGTTATACGGGACCTGAGTCCAAAATTAGCAGATTGGCATTTTAAAATAACAATAACAAGTCATAATCAAAACAAGGAGAAAAGTGAGCCATGCCTATGAGCTTGGGTCTAGAAAAGCCATTGGAAAAGGAGCCTCATGTCAGTCAAGAAGCAATGGATTTGTTGTTGTTGTTTAGTCATTTAATCGTGTCCGACTCTTCGCAACCCCATGGATCAGAGCACATCATGCCCTTCTGTCTTCCATTGCCTCCCAGAGTTGGGTTAAATTCATGTTGGTAGCATGATTAATGAAATTCAAAATAAACTTGTGGCAGTAATTTAACTGATCATTTCCTTGGATGTTTGGAACCCAAACATTGGTTATGAAAGGACCATGTGCATGAATGCTCACTCTGCACTCTTCTCAAAGGCAATACTCCTGGATGTCAACAGAAACATTAAAAAAAGAGGTTTGCACTGATAGGTCTTCGTTACCTGTCCTACAGAGTACTATCGACTTAAGTGTACTGAAGTAAGAATCACATTCTGTGGAGCTGCAATGATACTGATTGTACCCTTTAAAATGCCATCTAACAGCAAGGCTAACCACATTTTGCTTTCAGATATGATAACTGTTTAATGGACAACGTTACCCCAACCAGAACAGGAAGAACAGCTGTACATAGGGACTGCACAGCATATTGTTGAAGTATTCAAACTGCTCCTTTGTATATATTTGTCACCTTTGTCACCTGGTGCTTGTACTCTTACTGTAGGTGTTACACATGCTATCAAGCTGATCCCAACTTTTGACAATCACAGTAGAGTTTCTAAGGCACATGAGCTATTTAAAGAATGTTTTTACTACTGGCAGCACCCCAGTGATTTTGCATCGCCAGGGTGGCAGATTTGAACCCAGGTTTCCTGTGTCCCGGTCCGAAGCTCTTTCCACTACACAACACAGGCACTCTGTACTTCAAGCAGTGAAATAAATATCATTATACAAGATGTCTGTGTGAGTGAAAGATGGGTCTATGGACTCCAAGGAGCAGGAAGGGAGAGATCTATGGTATATAGATGGAGATGGGCAACATGACGCCTTTCAGAATGTATAACAAAAAGAAAAGTATTATGGCACTTTTAAGATTAAAAGATTTATTTCAGCATGGGTTTTCATGGATCCCAATCCACTTCCTCAGACACATTACAATTTTTGTCTTCAGACAGTTTTTAGGCCTCAGATCTATACACGTATATGCACAGTGTACATGATTATGTGGATAGGGATCAAGTGAAACAAGACACAGTCTTGAACATTCAGAGTGTTGGTTATCTAATCATCCTGGAAACAGGCTGAATCGTCAGCTATTGTAAATTGTCGGATGGTACACAGAGGGTAGGCTGTTGTCTTTGAAGTGTTGATGTAATGACCTTTGCTTTCAGGGTTTGGCTAAGGACAGAGTTTTGCCACACCCACTCACAACTTTTGATCTCTGCACTAAATTGTATGACGAACTAGCCTAGTAATATAAAGAAAGTGTGAAAAAATCCCAGTCTTTTTTAAAGCCTTCAAATGCACACTGGCATTTATGAGAGTTATTGTCCATTTGCAAGTTCACTACCAACTGTTTCTCTATCTAATTTCACTCAGTCTTCGATCTCACAATTATTTACACTACACTTGAATCAGCAGCCTATGTTATTCCTTATGATCATCCTGGCAATAGGCAGAGTAATTAGCTGACGTAAATGGTCTGTCAGAGGTTGTAGGTTGAAATTCAGAAAATCTCACACTGGAAGAAATCTGATATCCTTTATGATGCCACAATATTTTTCTTCTTGTTTTAATTAGACATGCTGAAATAGGTTAAAAACTGCTACATTACTTATACTGAAAATCACAGCCTGTGAAACGAAATGTCATTTCACAGCAACTCCCATAATTCCTCATTGGCTGGAGTCATGAGAGCTGTGGTAAATCTGAAGCTGGTCCCAAGCTGATTCTTCAAGTTTGCAGACTCCATCCTGGAATTTTACTTTAATTCCAGATATTTCAACATTTAGCCAGGAAGAATTGGGACTTCTCTCTTCCTCCATCTCCCTCAAACTCAGCAATCTGTTTTAATTTTAAGGATTAAAAATCTTCTTCACATGTTTTAGTCATTTAGTGGTTCAAAAAAGGTACTGCCCAACTCTGGTTTTTTAAAATTATTATTATTATAAACCACAGAGCTGTGTTTTTAAAAACAAAAACTGGCAAACAACAAACTGAAAAACGTATTATACATCCAGGACGCTTACAGGATATGACAGAACACGTTTTCTGGTCCTGGTTTCCCCATTATTGCAACATCCCCAAACATATTCTCTTGCCCCATATGTATTAAAAGTAAAGCAATGAGTCTGAAATACCTTCTGGGTGAAAAAGTCTTCAGCTTCCCTAGCTTACCCTAATAAGCAAAAGAGATGGAAGATTTTGGTTTTCCCTCTACAGAATGTCATTTGCTTCCCAGGAAGGAAGCAGTTAAACTATCCGAGGAAGCTGTTGTATCCTTGGCTCCCTCCTGCAACCTATAGATTGCTCTAAAAGTAAAGCAATGAGTCTGAAATACCTTCTGGGTGAAAAAGTCTTCAGCTTCCCTAGCTTACCCTAATAAGCAAAAGAGATGGAAGATTTTGGTTTTCCCTCTACAGAATGTCATTTGCTTCCCAGGAAGGAAGCAGTTAAACTATCCGAGGAAGCTGTTGTATCCTTGGCTCCCTCCTGCAACCTATAGATTGCTCTTCAAAGCAGAGGAAGCTGTTGTATCCTTGGCTCCCTCCTTCTGCAACCTATAGATTGCTTTTCAAAGCAGGAGACATCAAGAAGAGGTGGCAAGAATACACAGAGGAATTATACTGTACCAGAAAGATCAGGATGTCTCAGAAAACCCAGATAGTGTGGTTGCTGACCTTGAGCCAGCCATCCTGGAGAGTGAAGTCAAGTGGGCCTTAGAAAGCCTGGCTAACAACAAGGCCAGTGGAGATGACGGCATTCCAGTCGAGCTATTTAAAACGTTAAAAGATGACGCTGTTAAGGTGCTACATTCAATATGCCACCAAGTTTGGAAAACTCATCAGTGCCCAGAGGCTGGGGAAAGATCAGTCTACATCCCAATCCCAAAGAAAGGCAGTGCCAAAGAATGCTCCAACTACCATACAATTGCACTCATTTCACATACTAGCAAGGTTATGCTCTAAATCCTACAAGGTAGGCTTCAGCAGTATGAGGACTGAGAACTCCCAGAAGTACAAGCTGGATTCCGAAGGGGCAGAGGAACTAGAGACCAAATTGCCAACATGCGCTGGATTATGGATAAAGCCAGAGAATTCCAGAAAAACATCTACTTCTGCTTCATTGACTACATAAAAGCCTTTGACTATGTGGACCACAGCAAACCATGGCAAGTCCTTAAAGAAATGGGAGTCCCTGACCACCTTATCTGTCTCCAGAAAAACCTATACGTGGGACAGGAAGCAACAGTTAGAACTGGATATGGAACAACCGATTGGTTCAAAATTGGGAAAGGGGTACAACAAGGCTGTATATTGTCCCCCCAGCTGAAGGTCAACAGAAAAAAAACCTAAGATCATGGCCACTGGTCCCATCACCTCCTGGCAAATGGAAGGGGAAGATATGCAGGCAGTGAGAGATTTTACTTTCCTGGGCTCCATGATCACTGCAGATGGTGACAGCAGCCATGAAATTAAAAGACGCCTGCTTCTTGGGAGGAAAGTGATGACAAACTTGGACAGCATCTTAAAAAGCTGATACCTCATTTTGCCGACAAAGGTCCGCATAGTCAAAGTTATGGCTTTCCCAGTAGTGATGTAGGGAAGCGAGAGCTGGATCATAAAGTTGACTGCCAAAGAATTAATGCTTTTGAATTGTGGTGCTGGAGGAGGCTCTTGAGAGTCCCCTGGACTGCAAGGAGAACAAACCTATCTATTAGGAAGGAAATCAACCCTGAGTGCTCACTGGAAGGACAGATCCTGAAGCTGAGGCTCCAATACTTTGGCCATCTCATGAGAAGAGAAGACTCCCTGGAGAAGACCCTGATGTTGGGAAAGTGTGACGGCAAGAGGAGAAGGGGACGACAGAGGATGAGATGGATGGACAATGCCATCGAAACAACGAACATGAATTTGACCCAACTCCGGGAGGCAGTGGAAGACAGGAGGGTCTGGCGTGCTCTGGTCCATGGGGTCACGAAGAGTGGGACACGACTAAACGACACCACCAAAACAAAGTTTTAAAAAACAGAGTTAAGGCCAAAGGACAGGATTTCTGTTTCAGTGTAATGCCACCCAGCCACGACTATTAATAATCACAGACTGCGATAAAAAACAGCTGCATTTTTCAGAGGATTACGGTAAACCCTGTAAATTTCTTGCAGGGAAGGGGAAACAAAAAACCCACCACCTTGTGACACTTAAAAAAACAAGCACACTTATTATGGCATCAATTTTCGTAGACTACCGCTCAGATCACGAGATGCATGAAGGTTGTGTCACGGGTTCAGGCGCTTGAGAGGAACAAAGTGTATCGCTAATTTTTATCAACTTCACGGTAAATGCAGATTTCCGCGTTGCGCAGAGTTTTTCCTCAGAAGGCAATTATTAAGAGAGCACTGCCCTCCGGTGGACAAAGGGGGTGAGGATAGGTTTTCCAGTCTAAAGAAATCGAAGGGAGTTTCCCCATTGCTTTAGTGAAAGAGGCTGCTTAGACCTCTTCGCTAACACAGAGCCTTAAATTGCTGCAGCTTTCCAGCGCATGCGTGTCCTCGTTCCGCTGGTTCCGCGTCTCCCCGCGCTCTCTTTCACTTTGGAGAAGCCCCGCCCCTCTATTATTTTTGCAAAGGCGTGTGAGGTCGCGCGTTCCTCTTCCCCCCCCTCGGGTTTTGTGGTCTGAGCCCTTCCGCTTGCCGTAGTCAAGTGGGGTCTGGGTGTTGCCGGCGTGCCCGCTCGAGAGCGAGACCTTTGAAAAGTCCATGGTTGCCGGGCGCCGCGATGGCTCCGGACCCCTGGTGAGTCAGTCCATGGCCGCGGGGGAGAGGCGCTCCCTCCGAGGGACCGCCCTTGGACTCGAGGGAGGCCGGCGGCAAAGACAGAGAACGGGGCCGTTAGTCCGGGCCTGGCGGTGCCGGTGGTGGTGGTGGGCCGCCTGCGAGGGACAGCCGCGTCTCTCTCCCCCTCTCCTGGCCCTGTCAGTGTTTCTTTGGGCTGCCTTTGCCCCCCCCCCCCATAGCGAGGGGGGGGGAGGAGGGG